AAAATGTTTTGGGCTCTGCAGTTTTGGTTGAATGGTTTTGGTTGTGTATCTCATGCTCAGAGAGGAGAGCCTCTCATCGATGGGCTGAATATTCGACAGGTGATGAATATGGGCGAAGGGGTAGTTGCGGCGCTTGTTATTCACTCTACGCAGGATTCTCCTCTCCAATGCAAGCAGTTTTTGTGTAAGATGGCAGCGCATCGTAATATAGATATTGAATCTATACTCCGGCCTAATAAATGTTTTATATGTGTGTATGAGTGAGCGTGGGTGTGTTCTTCCGAATTTACCACCATGAGCATTAAGTAGACCGAGTCTGCACCTAGCCTTGTTACAGGCTATGTCCAGATCGGTCCTTCAGTTCAGTGTTTGTGTAAAACACCACACCGAGGTACTCGATCCGGTCGCGGAGCACTAGTCGGTCCCCCCAGACTCTAAGGTTGTGTCTTTCGGATATGCTGGGTGTGACGTATCTGCTGAGATATTGATGTCTGAAGAGAATCATTTGTGTTTTATGTTTATGGGTAAGGTGTTACTCTCCATCTCCTACATCAGCTGTCGACCAGGTTAAGGTGATTTTGAGCAAACCTAAGTACTGAATCTACGTCTCGTGATGTTGTTACGAGAGCTGTATCATCTGCGTAGAACAAAGTCTTTGTGTTGAGGGTGTGTGTATTGAGGGTTAGTTAGTCAATATTGTAAATTGGGCAGGAAGGAGATGGAGGCTCTGTTGTTGTGTGCCACAAGAGTGCTCTTGTGGCCGAACATCAGAGATGAAAGTTGATTGGTGACATCTAGAATGAGCTGTCGCCTATCACAGAGGAGGTTTATGAGGATAAAGGAGGTAAACTCCATGACTGCCTTCATGTCCGAAGTCAGTTCATAGGGGGAAATTCTTCTTTCAGTGGTAATTCTTGGAGGGATTTTGGGAGTTCCTTTCTGCGGAGGCATGGGTACCTGCACTGTTTCTCGTTTTGACAGCACTTGCCACAATACTTAGGCACAGGGTTGGAATTTAGGGGGAGCTCAGAGGGATGTTCGTCCATGAAAATGCCCTTGGTCAGCATCTCTGTGTTTTAATTCACTTGAGGTGACCAGTTTGACAAAAGAGGTAGGGAGATTGGCACGAGATATAACCCATTATAGCCGAACTACAGGGACATCCATCTCTGAAAAAGTTTTTGTAAGTAGTAGACTTTAGATCGGAGTAGACTTTATCTAAACCTTTGACGACCACCATGTATATGGGCCATATGGGGTGGTAGGGCGGGTACGGTTTCTGGGTGTGGGTACGTGTTTGGAGGTGATCTGGATTTTAAGATCGCACAGTGTTTCACCGACCTTGCATTGTAGCTCGACGTTGGTGGAGAGGATAGTTGTGAGGTGAGCGATTTGGGTTGGTATTACTTTAACCGTTGAGACTTGATTTAGCAAAAGCTCTCGGTGTTGATGACACTGAAGAAGTCACGTTGTGTGGACTTCTTCAGAGGGATGTGTTTAATGGTATAATTAAATGATTTTGGTTGAGCATGTTGATTTCCTGAGGTAGAGGGGGTAGAGGAAGAGGGAGGTGGCTCTATAATGAGGACTTCTGTTTGATGTCTATTCAATAATATCAACAAACAATGGTAAGGATAAGAAAGACTGATGAAAAAATGCACAAATCGATAATAAATACTTTATATTACTTACAAAAAGAACTCATCGTTAGTTAATATGAGTAAACATGTCTAAAATGCTGAAAGTAACAGTTTCCTTACATAAATTTATTAAAGTCTCTTTAAATGTATATAAACTACACTAAATGTTTTTATATATGCCGTATAAATGTTTAATATCAGTTCTAAAAAAGAATTAAAATTATATTTAAATGACCTTATGGATTCATACAAAGTTAAGGAGCCTTCTACTCATCTAGCAAAAAGATAAAAGAGGGAATGTAAAGGTAGTGGGGGCAAAAATGTTGTTAGATAGAAAGTGCCATTTTGAGAGACCACATTAAACAAGGAAAGAGAGTCTTTCCTTGTTTAAGAAATCAAATTTAGTTGGGTTATGTTATTGTTTGTCCCAACTGTCATATGAAAGCGTATTTATATTAAAGTTTTTTAATAATTGTGTCACATTTTAGACTATTATCATTATTTAATTAAAACTTTTCTATGCTTTAGAGTTAAAAAAAGTATTTTAAGTGTTAGGAATATGGTGCTTATAATAATATTGGAACATAGTCTTAAATTTGGCACTTTTGCATTTCCAGATATGTCAGCCATATTAAGAGGCCACTTTTATGAAGTTTGGTCTCCTTTTCATAACTATTAGATTTCCTCTTTTGTCTTTTTGCTTGATAGTTCTACTATACAAAGAAAGTGATAAAAACAGTAAGATAGACAAAACCATACATATTTAAATGATTATGTCTTATATTGGAAAAAATAAAGTTGAAATGATAATTCTTGCATAAAAAGCAAATTAATGCCATATAAATGATAGAGGGATAAAATAAGGGAAGATGAGAGTGAGCAATAGCTAAAATATACAAAAACTAACAAATAGTAGAAAAATCAACCAATAAAATATACCAATTGTGTGCCTTGGTCACAGGATGTTGAAAATTTATCGTTCTGAAGGATATACATAAAACAATCCAATGTAATCTTGGTTTCTTCTCGGGTGGTGGTTTGATTTTCCCCTGCTTTACCTCCTTTTTGATCTCCTTATTCTCGGGAGCTCCATTGTCAGGTTCTTGTTTAATTTGTGGAACTGGTGCAATTTTAGGCTGAGGGGGAGCAGGTAAGGGAAATTTTCTTATCAATTCTCCTAGTAACATATCAACCCTTTGTCTTTGAAATAACGAATTAGGTTCCTCCCTTGGCTTTTCATCTTTTTTTACTTTTTCAGCTGCTCGCTGAGATTTAAAATCCCAAGAATAGCCTTTACTGGGATGATACTTGGCAAAACCCGAAGATTCCTCAAAGGATGATTGCAGATAGTGTACAGCAGATAACTGAAAGAAAAATATCTGATTAAACTTGTTTTCTAAATAGTAGACGACTTCTGTAGGAACATACAATGACATATCGTGTTATTTAAAAATATATTACCAGTCTGAAGTTCAAAAACACTTGCTAGATCAGGAGCCTGATAGACAATACCAGCAATAATATAATAATCTGCTAAGGGAATAATCTGCTGAGGACTTTTTCTGTGCTGCTTTCGAATTACATACAAAATCGGTTCTTGAACATGTAAAAGAACATACTCTACCCCTGTCATATTTCTAAAAACAAAAAAAATATAGTTTTTCAAAGATCTATGGTCTGTTTTTTAACCAGGAGGAGTAATTCAAATTTTCCGCACCGTAATGCTTGTTTGCAATTAGTCCAACCGCAGGCAAGTTTACTCCATTAAATTATGACATATTGACACTAATGACATTTGTGAAATTTATTTGTTATTATTATTTTCCTCTAATATATAAATCGATTTCTGACTGTTTAAATTATTTGTAATAACTTGGACTTGGTGATATGCGAATAGTATTTAATGTGATATTTTTCTAGATGATATTTATATTAAATATAGTTTAAAGTGATTTTAAATTTATAAATGTATGTTATTTATATCTAATTGTCATAAGAAAAACGGCAACCATCTTTTAAATTTAGTGTATACTTGTTAAGAAGCATTTCCATTTTGTTTTCATCACAATAAAAGAACATTAGTAAAGTAATGTTGTGTTTTAGTTTGATTGTATGATACAGTTGGTTTGTTCTTCCTGGTTGTAGATCATCACAAGAAAACTGCAAAATTATGCAAGAATGTAACATAATAGATTGGATTTGTTGATTATCTCACAGAAATCCAGTATTTTTAGTAAATTTTATTTGTTGATAACAAATGGGACAAACTCACTGTCAAAACTAAACAAGAATCCAGCATTAAAGACATTGTAAGTACACACTTATTTATACAAAGTATCTGGTAAGAAAAAAAACTAGATTCAAGAAATTAATCATACCAGAATAAGAATATGGTCTACTATTAAAAGACAAATTTCTGAGAAAAATCATACTTAGATCTGTAACATTATTGACTCTCCCGATCAAAATATTCTCTAAACTATAATTAAATACCATAGACTTAAGAGATCTATAAAACTGGACACCCGATATTTAAATATATATACATGGGACCAAATGTGAAAACCGTCATTTTTTTATTGTAATAATTGTAATATATATTGGAAGTGAATTGAAAAAAAATTATTTTATTATTCAAACATAAATAAACGAAGTTAGGTTAGAATTGACGTGTGAGGGTATCCCATATTGATTACTCGATTACCGCAAGGCCGAGATAATCAACAAAAAAAGAAGATGTATTTGGTGACTTTTCTAGTAACTTTCTTGAGTGTGAATCTGTCTTTTTGGTTTACTCCTCCTGGTTAAAAAAACAGAGTTTATAATTGTTATTATTTTGAAAAATATTGAACGTAACTTAATAAAATAAATATATTTATTCAAAATATTTTAGGAGTACTACTTTTTAACCACTTCTTAGTTTTAATATAAACATATTTTAGCTGAATCATTATAAACACAGTTGATCTGTTTTACTATTTTTATAAAGACAATTGTTATTTTTTCCTGTTCTGTGAAGTTATCACTCATACATAATAATTTGTTACTGTGATTCCTGTGTTAAAACATTTTGGAAACACCCATCTCTAATCCAGAACAAAACAGAAAAGAAAATTAAAAAAAGGACACATTGAGATGATTTTTTTAATAATTACTTTTAAGTTAATTCAATAAAGTAAACTATAAATTAATTATTATGACTTTATTATTTTTCAAATTTTAATTGGTTTAACAAACATTCCAATTTAATATTTCCCTCCAGTTTTAGGGAATTAATTTTCTATCATCCTAAAGAGGAAGTAATCACTTATATGTCCTATGATGACAATCACTTCCCATTTGACATTTGACCGTTTCGATAGTGACAGCTGGATTTCCAGAAAAATAGAAGTTGGCAAATTTTGTGTCATTATCAAGTCCTTATCTTGTTTTTGGATAAGAATCTGAATCTTCGAATTATTGAATTAGTCTTCGAAGGTTTTATATGTGCAATAAAACAAGTCGCGAAGTGTGCTGATACTTTGTTATCGAAATAATAGTGCCGGCGTCACCATGTCGGACGAGAGTCATCCAAAAACACTTTATGTAGGTAATCTGGACGTGTCAGTGTCAGAGGACCTGTTATGTACCTTGTTTTCACAAATAGGCCTAGTGAAAGGATGTAAAATAATTAGGGAGCCCGGAAATGATCCATATGCTTTTATCGAATTTACTAATCATCAGTCTGCATCAACTGCTTTAGCAGCAATGAATAAACGACTATTTCTAGATAAGGAAATGAAGGTAAATTGGGCAACTAGTCCAGGGAATCAACCCAAACAAGATACATCTAATCATCATCACATCTTTGTTGGTGACTTATCTCCTGAAATTGAGACTGAAACACTCAGAGAGGCCTTTGCTCCCTTTGGAGAAATTTCAAACTGCAGAATAGTACGAGATCCTCAAACACTTAAATCTAAAGGGTATGCTTTTGTATCTTTTGTTAAAAAAGCTGAAGCAGAAAATGCCATACAAGCTATGAATGGTCAGTGGCTTGGATCAAGATCCATTCGTACTAATTGGTCAACTAGAAAGCCACCACCACCAAGAACAGAAAAACCTGCTCAGAGGCAGAAACAACCTCAATTTGAAGAGATCTACAATCAAACTTCTCCAACTAACACAACAGTATATTGTGGAGGTTTTGCAAGTGGTCTCACTGACGATTTAGTTCACACAACTTTTTCACCATTTGGTACAATTCAAGATATTAGAGTGTTCAAAGATAAAGGGTATGCTTTTATAAAATTTCTAACAAAAGAAAGTGCAACTCATGCTATTGAAAATATTCATAATTCAGAAATTAATGGTGCAACTGTTAAGTGCTTCTGGGGCAAGGAAAATGGAGGTTTTGGCCCAGATCCATCAATGCAGTCAGGAGCTGTGCCTCAATCTTCAGCCCCTCCATATTCTTATGGATATGGCAGTTATTGGTATCCACAAGGCTATACTGGAGGTGGTTACATGCAAGGATACCAGTCCTACCAGCAATATCAACAATATCCAGGTGGTCAGCAATACTGTGTTATGCCACAACAGGGACAGTGGTCAGGTCAGCCAGGACAACAGCCAAATGTACCCGTTATGTATGGTCAAAAGTATCCATCTCAGTGAAATATTCCATAGACATTAACTTGGGTTACGTTTTTGCAGTAAGTTTGAGCAAGGACAATTATAAACAAAATACCTATAAATAATATTAGGAATATGAACTTAACCTTTATAAACATTTCTTTGCTTCCAGTAGCAAAACACACTTGTTTTATAACTTTTTTACAATTGATTTATTAGGTTTGGTTTTCGAATAAATGACCTTTGGTAATTGTTTACTTTGTCTCCTAAGAAGATATAACAAACAGTTTGAATTTACTTTGTGTCTAAAACCTCATATCTTTTGTTGATATCTTGCCTATCTTATACTCTTTTGTATATTTTGATTTTCAATTTAATGGTTTAAATTTCATGTTTGTAAAGAGGTTCTTATTTATGGTACTTAAAAATTAACTTTATTATGATTGATTTTTACCTGATACATTACATAGATTCCATGTATAACAGATGCAGGTATTGCTATGCATCTACTATTTATTCTTATTACAAAAATTTCCATTGTGGTTCTGTGTGGCAGGAATGTATGATACATTTTTGTATATTAAGTTTTTTTCTTTAACAGGAAACTAAGGCTTATAAACTTTTCTCCAACTAAAATTAAATTAAAATTTAAATGTTTCTTTTATTCTCTAACATGCATTTGTAATTTTTTCTGTCTAAGTAGTTTCGCCTCTGATTTTCAACTCTACAACTTGAAAGATCTTTTGTGCATATCTTACATATAAGTTTGTGGCTTTGATATAGATTTTAGCACCTGCTGCCAAACTTGCTTTTATCATTAACAGGTCGTATAAATGATTGGAACAAAAATAACAATTTGGAAGCTAAATTGAAATAGATTTTTTTTATTTTCCCCACTTTGTGGTAATCTTACTTCACACTGTTGTACATGCTTGTCACACTATTGTACATGTTGTACACATGCTTGTCACACACATTGTACATTTCATTTAAGTAATTGTATTTTGATGTATTGTTGCTAATTAAGGAAGTTGGCAATTTACAGAAATAAGTTATTTCAGTAGTTAATTCTGTAGCTATTTGATTCTGATACCAATAATTAAAAAAGGAAAAGTTTTATTGATGTTTTGACATTAAAATATTAACTTAATTGGTCTGGGGTAAATTTTTGTCTGAATGTTCCAATATATAGAATAATAAAATGGGGTAGTTCAGAAAACTAAGTTATTTTGTATTAGGTAGAAAAAAGTACAATATCTTATATATTGATATAGTTGCAAACCTAATATCCAATAAAAAGTTTTTAGGTTGTGCAAGGTTCCATGTATATGATATGATATTATTAAGGAACTAATAGGTTCTTATTGAAATTGTGGTATCTGTTTGTCTTGCCCTAACGGAATATCCCAATAGGAATTCTACAACTTTCCTTATTCAAGGGCCAAGAAAATATCATCTCTTCATTTTTTTTTTGTTAACTGACTGAAAGGTAAATATAGCCTTAATTTTTATAGTAAAGACAAGTTTAATAGATTATTATGTTTCAACATATTGTTGATTTATAGTGCTCTACCATTATCATAAATCAAATTAGATAGGGCTTCATAAGGATCAATATTTGATTGTAAAAGAGTTATTTGTGAATTATATAGTGCAAACATTATTATACTAGAAAAGATAATATTTTTGGAACCAGTAAAAATATCCAAGCTACTGATTACTGTTAAATTGTAATAGTTATCCATTTATAATATAATATATATATATATATATATATATATATATATATATATATATATATATATATATAACTAGCAATTGCCAGTTTTGACATCATTTTTATCATCATCATCATTCTGGCTTTACAACCCAGCATGGGTCCTAGCCTCATCAAGAATTTCTCTCCAGACATCCCTATCCATTGCTTTCTTCCGCCAACCATGTATTCCCATATTTCTCATATTTTCATTGATCTTTTTCTGGGTCTTCCTCTTCTCGATCAATTGATCTGGAGTGTTTTTCTAGCTGAGTCATTTTGTTCCATCATATTTCCTTCTAAGCTATCAATTGCCAGTTATGACATCCTTTTCAACATGTTTTAAAAAGTATGTATACAGGAATAACATATACATATACTTTCCGAATTGGTAAGTTCCATGAGCTTACCATCCTGGCTGGAGACAATCTTGCTCCTGTTGGAATGCACGAATGGAAGAGCTTCAGCAGGAAAGCACTATGTGCAATCCCTCCTACCGAGCTCCTTTCTGCTAGTAGCAGTAGAGTTTGCTCTAGTAACCACTTTGGTTGAGATTCAGTAGAGGACACCAGGATTGGGTTAGCTAATATCAATTTTAATTAAATGAGGAACATAGGTCATATATACTGGTAACATTAATAGATTATGACTTTATTAAAGGGAATTATAAGTTATACTCTCCATTAAGAATGGTTTATTTTATTCAGAAGTAAATGTACTGATAATGATATTGGTTAAATATTGACATTTTCCAGAATTACAGTAGATACTGCTAATTATTTTGGACTAATTTATATGAAAAGACCAAACAGAAATTTCTCATTTTACTGAAAAAAAAAAAAATGAGACAATGTGTTTAATGTGCAAATTTTAGACACAAAGAAAAGCAGTTAGACAGGCTTAAAGCATTGATTTAATAATGACGCTGTATTTTTTGATATGTAAAAGTAATTATAATATTTTGATACAATAGATCCTTTAGTTAAACAGTACGTTTTTATAAATATTTGATAATTTTGTATTACTACTATTACTAAAAAAAAAAGAAATATGTAAGTACTACTATTATAGTATATACCCTACACACTATGATTGATTATTTAAACCTTAATTTACATGAATACTATGTGCCTTCTTAAATGATAAGATGTAGAAATTTTGATATTGATGGTAGAACTTCTGGTTCCTAAATACTTTTTTACACCATACTTTTTATACTAATGGCAGAGTAAAATTCAGTAAATTGTAGAGCCTTACAATACAGTGCCACCTGTAATAAAGAAATCACATAACAGTGGACCAATTTTCCAGCACATTCAAGATTCCAGATTATCCGGATTTGATTTGTTTTGTTACAATATGTAGCTAATCATCAAAATTTCTATCCTAGGCTACTATTATGAGATTACACAGGATTCACTCTATTTTCCAATAAATTAGTCCAACAAAATGAAGCAACCCCCTAAGTAAATAATCTTAGTAGTTGATGCAGTTAATTGAAATGAAAAAAATGAAGCAATAAAAAGTTGTTGAAGTAAACATATAGTGTGCTGTGGTTGTTGGAGGCAATTATTATCTTTAATAATGCTTCAATAAACTTAATACAAAAACTTTATTTTAAAAGAAAATCATTATTTATACAACTTATAGTTGTATAAATAATATAATAGTAAAAAAACTAACACTGAGAAAAAAAAAATACAATTTTTAAGTTTTAACACCAGATTTTTAAATTCTTCATTTATTTTCCATTCATTGGTTTTTTTTTCAGATTCTATTGGATTAGTTTAATATTCTCATAATAAAAACCATGATATTAAGATCTATGTTGAGGGTAAAATTTGTCTGCTCACTACTATTGTTTTTTATCTTATCTAAATGATTTGTGTTATTCCAATATTGACCAAAAGACATAATTTAAAATATCCATTATCAAGTTACTAAAAGGTTTATTTTTAATCTTATTTAATTTATACCAAAATCATGCAATATTAATATCTAATATATCTATAATTGCCTCTTTTGTGAATTGAATATTCTGACTTATCGAAAGTTTTTTCAACAGCTTTTGCCCTTTTTCAGTGTTAAATATTGTATCTATGTTTAATTGAACTACTTCAAATGAGATTCACATTTTACATTTGTTTTTGATATTTCTATTTTCAATCTAAAAGTCGTTTTCAAAAGAATTTTTATAAACATCAAAAAGAAATGTAAAATAATAATTCTCCTTACAATTAATTTTGGTTTAATCCCATGTAAATACAATATTTAACTTAAAAGGTACCACAAGACGACAGTTTCATTTTCTCTATTTTTTTTTCAGACTGTGTTTATATCGGAGATTTTTAAGTTGTAAAAGTCTGAGGACAAAATTGATATTTAATGTTAAAAATTATCTGAAATTTACAAAAAGATCAGTAGCAGCCACCACATCTAGCAATGAACAAATGTTCAATATGGCACATATCAGACATGCAACGAAATGTTCCCTAAGTAAAAAAGTTTTATGTGTATTTGGTGCTTGAAAGAATTGAAAAATAGTGTTTATAATATTCATATATATATATATATATATATATATATATAATATATATATATATATATATATATATATATATATTTCTTCTAAGCTAGCAATTGCCATACTCTTGAGTCAATTGAGATCCTCTTCAAAAATTATAATTCAACATAGATATACTTGTATATGTCTGATTCATAGAGCTAAGTTTTGGAAATACTGTTTTGTTAAAACAAAAATGCTGATATCAAATTTTGATGTATTAAAACGCAATGTTATCAGAATCATGTAAACAGATATTAGAAAAATGAAAAATGTTCCTGCTCTAATGTTATTATATTTTAGGTGTTGGTACTGGTAATTTTTAATTTAGTTATATAATAATTTGGAACATTATGTAATTGTTTATACAGGGGTTGGAGCAAAAATATGCACACTTTTCAAATTGTTTTCAATATATATTTTGTAAAAATTTGTTCATGGTGAAATATTTATGAAATCGAGTATTAATATTTAAATTCGTCATTCTCACAAAATAATTTGGTGTGTCAAATATACTTGATACAATAAGTTTTCCATTTTTCTGAACATGGCATTTAAATTTGTAAATATGCTTAAATAATTTTCATTTTGAGAGGTTGCACACCTGCAAAGTTCATTAAGTTTTGTTCTAACTCCTGTAATTATTGTAAAGAAAGCATGTATTTTAATATTATTTAATAAGTGTGTCATTTATTCCATAGATTAAACCAAACCTTTATTAGAATATACCCCTAATGACAATATATTGTACATATTTGTAGTCAATTACTTTTGATATAAAATATGTTTTCTGGTAGTGATGAGATTAAGTTCATATTCAGTTAATTACACACTTGACCTAGAATTAGTTAGATTATGGTTTGCCGTGTTCTTTTGGTTGATGTAAATAGGTATATATATTATTTTTTATCAAACTTATTCTTGATTTT